AGCATTTTTCAAACGTCTCATGTTGTAGGGGGTCATGGAGGAAGAAGAGCCATGGTCCATTTTCCTGGAAGACCTCCAGGAATGTCAAAAACAGTGGTGAAGAAATGGTCCAGAGTTCGATCCCCGGTGATGACTAATTTTTGCAATATAGTTTGGCGCCCCCAGATTGCCGCCAAATGGCGCCATCGTCGAGTATTGTCGTGTTCTGCGGCAATTTGGAGGCGCCAACATAAATTGCAAAAATTTGTCATCACGGAGGATCGAACTTTGGACCATTTCTTCCCCGCTGTTTTGACATTCCTGGGGCGTTCAGGAAAAATGGACCATGGTTCTGTGTTCCTCACATGAGCCTTGAACATTCACTACCCTAAAAAACGCGCATCCTCCTGCGACCCCCCCCACTTGTAGTCCGCAAAGTTTGGGACAGAGCGGGGCTTTCAAAATTCCATTCATAAGACTTTGAAGACCGCTAGGATTACAATTTTTCAGCAATGCGAAATATAAACATAAACAAGTGTCTGGCGTTTGAATCCTATAACGATTAGTGCAAGGCATGATGACTCACTACTCCACCTATTGATTACGTGACTACTTGAACTCTCCCCTATGTTCTCTGCCGAGAAAGGCCAGAGCACAGACGATTAGAGAACGGTGCCTGGCTCGGCTTCAAATCCCAACCAAGAAGGTGAGAGCTCTAGGACTAAGCCTTGAAGGGAGGAGGGACTCCGTAGTGGATGAGCCAATTATATTGTGGCAAAGTTTGAATACATAAGATCACAGTAATCATAAAGCGCTGGTTAAGCGAGAGAGCGCAGGCGAGAGCGTCAAATCGAGGCGGTTTAAAGGGCCGAGTTCAAGTTGTCCGTAGACCCAGCAGAGCACCCAGCCCCATCCCTTCAATTTGTTCGTCCGGGCATCCTCGAGCCCAAGGATGCGCAAAGCCTCACCATGACCTCGATTCCTCGAAGGGCCTATGAAGGAGGCACAAGTGAGTGAGGAGCCATCTTCTTTCTCGCCACAGTCAAGGCATTTCCCCCAAAGTGGCTCAACACAGAGTCAACCCTGCGTTGCGCAGTTCGCAACGGCACGTTGAGAGATCCTCAACGCACGCTGTATGGGCGGAGACACAGACGGCTCGAGCATGCGAGTGTGAATGTTCGCGCGAGAGAACGTGTCTAATCGGGCGAAACTGCGCAACGTGGCCGTTGAAACTGCGCAACGCAGGGTTGACTCTGCGCTGCTCAAGTAGATGCAGTAGTTCCAAAGTAGTGCTTCTTTCAGCTATCACACAAATGCTGATTTATGGGCAAAACAATTCATCCTGGGAGGGGTTCAAACCCGTATCTCTCGTTTTCTGGATAAGCGTGCTTAACGTTGACACTACGGCGGGGGGCACCAATTCATCTTGAAGGAGGATTTCACGATATCGTCGAAATAATGGAATAATGGAATATTTATAATGGAGTCTACAATGGAATTCTTCACGGAATCTTTCAAGACGAGGATCGATCCGAGGGCATTCCGTGCTCGAAATGAGTGTAGAAACGTGGAAATGAACGTTAGTGAAGAATAGCAGGAAGAAACCGTCGGCAAGGCTGGAAATACCCCCTTCCCAAAGGCAGCGGAGAAGACTCGCTGTGAGGATGGTGTGTTGGTTGGCGAGGTCCATTAAAGGAGCATCACACGATAAGTTCGAAGGTGGAAGAAGGGGAATTACACGCGGTGGGAAGGTCTCAACGAAGGACGTGAACCGGCGATCTAGCATGGCAGCCTCCGCGGCGCTATCGACGCGGCACGCCCACCGACTGGCTAACCACTCGCCGCAGGTCTCTAGCCGTTTAAGAGAGAGCGTTAGCGTTGAAGAGGGCAGCACCGATGAGAGTCGCATCAATGTAAAAATGAACAGGCAAGGAAGGGGTTCTCGTGGTTTTTCTTCATCCCAGCTTTGCCGGCTACCTCTACCTTAATTCTAATGGGCTGTCTTCTGAATATGAAGTCCACCTTTGGCTCAGTTTTTGATGACATATTTGCCATAGCTTCTTTCAGTTTTTCTTGGAAACCTAATCAGTAGTAGCTGTTTCTTTGCTCGATCGCAAATTACGTTTATGCGTGCCATTATTCGATTTCCAAAGTTTTGCCCCGCCCTTCGCTCTATGTAACGCGCATGTTTTCCAGTGCCCTCATTGTCCCAGCTTTATTCATAGTTCTCACCACGATCTGCCAACTGCTGTCGGACCAGCGTGACAATGGGTTGTGAAGAAAGTGGTCTAAACAGGCTCCGGCTGATTCGAACTATTGTTGAGGCACAATAACCACGTCGTAATAGAATCCTTGGCACGCATACTGAACTTCTCAGCACTACTGGAGGTGTCTGTGCCTTTCCGCCTTCTGCCTTTGATTTATTTTCATGTATTCCAGCAAAATTCTCGTCCCATTCCTCATCTGAATGGTTTCTCAAATAGTCTGTCAAGTCTCAAGAAACCTGTTCGCAGGCAAGCTTGGCCGCAACAGCTTCATCTAATGGAACTAGTTACACGCTGTCCTGCATATTCTTGATCAAGGAAACATTTTTCGAAGCGAACAGAAGTTAGAAAACACGTAACCGGCGCTGATCTTCTTTGAATAGCCGGCGTTTTCCATTGGCTCTAGAACTTTTTTTCGATGCCCTACGGTTCGCCCTTTGAGACGGCATCAATAGTACTCTGCTACTTTCATAAATCTGGGTAGACCATATAAAGAACTTTAGAAGCTTACCATGATACCATAAACTAAGTTTTGAACGGACGAGCTTACTCAGTTTTTGTTTTTTTTTAAACCGTGAAAATGGAGTTGGAGGGGCCAAACGATTGTGCTCTGCGTTTCCACGAATAAAGCTATCTTTAGCGCTAGTGGAGCGTTCAGAGTTGGCGATCGTACGTGCGATAGGCGATTAGGCGATTAGGCGATTAGTCTATAATGAAAAATATACGTATAGATTAGGCGATTAGGCGAGTAGGCGAGTAGGCGATTAGGCGGGGAAGACTACATACGTATTGATTGGTTTGCTCCGCCCATAGAGCGTTGTAGGCGAGTAGGATCGATGGGCGGAGCAACAAATCAATACGTATTTCTCCCTTATCGCCTACTCGCCTAACGCCCATTCTAGGTATACGACAACTAGCGGTTGACGTAGCTCACACACCTTACCCACAAACCTATCCAGCTCCTTGCTCATAGCCACTGATTCACTTATCCTCTAAATGTCCATTCATCCATCTTCCTTCCTCCACACTCAGGCATATCCCCCCCTTTTTCCCACACCCACGCAAGTTAAAAGTGTAAGTTTAAACCATGGGCGGTATTCAATCCTTCCCCCAGGGGATATATCCCCCTCCTCTGATTCAATCCTCTGGGGGGACAAAAAAGGGTTGCGTCATAGGACCTAGCATACCTCTGTGTTTCTACCTGCCAGACAGTTAGAGCAGCGCTACTACCCTCCACTGATGAAGCACTCTTTCCCCTGAGGGGTCGCGCTGCTCTAACTGTCTGGCAGGTAGAAACACAGAGGTATGCGAGGTCCTATGACGCAACCCTTTTTTGTCCCCCCAGAGGATTGAATCAGAGTAGGGGATATATCCCCTGGGGGAAGGATTGAATACCGCCCTGCCCTGCTTTATTACGTTGTCTTACCAATGTGTTTGACCCTGCCTTCGCGCTCTTTGAAGCTATTCAGCCGATCCCTTCGAAAGGCATAACCTCAACTGAGATCGATTGCAGATACATCCACGTCTCTGTCGTTCCTATCCTTAGCGATGTAGAACACAAGGGAGAGAGCCCTTTCGACTCCATTTCCATCCTGCATGTTTTGAGTGCTTGTGATTAGGGTTTGGTTGAGCCTTTTAGCTAACGCCTTGTGGTGGTCCAGTAGACTTGATATTGTGTGAATGAGGACAGTGATCGAGGAAAACAGATAAGGAGCAGACCTTAATATCAAAGAAAATTAGAATGAGCTCAATGCCACCTCAAGCAGCGGAAGAGCATGAATCCTGGATATCGTGAATTAGCGACTTGGGCGACGTTGATACGTGACGAAATCTTGGTCCACACCAACGCCTTTAAAGTGCATGGTTTCCCAGAGCATCCGTTCAGAAAGGAGGGTGTTTTCGAATGAGCGCCGCTTCCCACCAAGGAGGGCGCCGGTGTTCCAAGGGAAGCTTCAAGACTCGCGGAAAAGCCTAACATAACTCAAGCGATGTCGGAGCAGTCGATAGGCTTTAACGAACAAGAACGATAAGCCGAGCTGGAATGGGTGGAAGTGTGGAGTCGCTGAGTTTACTTGATCCAATATTCAGTCAAAAATTGCCTCCTGGATGGAGCATTGAGATTGAAGGAGCAAGAGAAGACGGATGACTGGTCTAAGTTGCGCCATGCACACGCCTTCCTTCAGAAAGTGCAGAGGCATTCGATTGCGAGCTCCTGTTGATGACTTAGGCGGCTTTAGACCAGTTGGGCAAACTATGATTTCTAGCCTCGATTTTTAAGCAGGGAGCTTTCCTTTAGTCATTTTTCTTCACCAGCTGACCTAGCCCGAATGAAGTAGAAGGGTCAGACGAGCGCGATTTCTTAAATGTCCTGGTTTTGATGTGACCCTAGTTAGAGGAACTCTCAGAGATAAACGAATTTGGAGACGCAACAGCTAACGAGCACCATCACATATCGCAAGACTCTGCGAATAGTCGATAATCTCTGACTAGCCGCTAAGAGGCTCAGAGCCCTGTTTGATGACCCATCCCGGGCAGCCGGCGGCCGAAACGTCCGTGTTTGGTTTGCTCTGACCTTCGGCCCCCATCCCGCCTCTCGCGCGTCCGCCCCTCCGACCGCACCCTCCCCGCCACCGCTACCGATTCAGCCCTAGTGCGCGCTCGATATCTGATATCATACCAGCCTCTGTTGCTACATTCCTTTGTTTCCGTCGACCATCTGATCTACGTTCACTCATGTCGCCCAGCAATTAATTGGTTATGGGTGGTTGTGCCGGAAAAACGGTGGCGACAACCAAACCGGCTTCTCAGCCGACTCCTGAAGAAACGCCAAGGCCAAAAACACCACCATCCGCGCAACCGAACAACAACAACCCCTGCTTCATTGCGTTATTTGAATACGAAGCCAGAACCGACGATGATCTCAGCTTCAAAAAGGATGAGGTGGGTCCTGCGATGATTCTTTGTGATTACGGTTGACTGCATTCGTGAGTTGTGGAATTAGTGAGAGATTCAATTTTTTCTGGCTTATTCATTCAGGCCAAGATGGTGAGATCTTCCGACGTTTTCGAAATTTCGGACCTAAAGGTCCACATTCGTCCAGCAGCTTCTACTGAAAAATTACTGAAATGCTAGTTTTCTGCTTCCTTCCGGTGTTTTCAAGCCTGTTTTGAGCTCTGTTATTCTAATGATTTGCGCTGTTTTGAAGAAGGAATCAGGCTATTTCTAGCGCGATCAGATTCGCAGGCCCAGTAAGTGGCCGGGTGAGTCTCAGCTGATTGAGAGCTGGTCTTGGCCCGTGCAGCTGTTGCGTCCACAACTGGATCGACCTCAGACCATCTATTAAATCTCGCCTGATCTGATCCACTTTTCAGGTGCTGGAGATTCTCAACGACACGCAAGGCGATTGGTGGTTCGCACGGCATAAAACCACTGGGAAAACCGGCTACATACCAAGTAACTACGTGGCCAAGGAGAAAAGTATAGAATCACAACCGTACGTGAAATCACCGCGGTGAGGGGAGGGACTTGAATTCTTTTCTCTAAGAGAAGTTTTCAGATGGTACTTTGGTAAGCTACGGCGATTGGACGCCGAGAAGGCTTTACTTCAGCCAGAAAATGAGCACGGATCATTTCTAGTACGGAATTCGGAAAGTCGACAGAACGATTTGTCATTATCAGGTCAGCCCTTAAAATCGATAATCATCAAATGCAGACGTTTTTTTGTGCAAATTTCGAGCTATCGCAAGATACGGGGCATCCTTTGGGACTAAGCTCTGAGAGGGGCTTGGAAGCTGGGCGATGTGAATGCTCCATCACGTGGAGTCTCTTGCCTCCGCCTAGGGCTTAGTCTTTTTTCAACAAAATGGTAATTTTTTACCCGGTTTCGAATGCATTGCTACCACATTACCCCCGTATCTTGTGATAGTGCCAAACTTTCCTCAATTTTACTGATTTTATCGTCTAATCGTCTTTACTAAACATTTTCTATGAACTTACTATCATATATTTCCTGAGATTTCTCCTATCGGGTTCATATTTTTCCTTATGCGTTGCAGATCATTTTTTCTCGGGAAAAAAATATTTTCTCTTGCATTACGAACGGCTAAGTTTCGAACTGGCTATATCCGCGTAGCGTTGGAGCGCGTATCGGTTTACCGATATGTACAGACGAGTTGTTGACCGCAGGTTCAAATCATCTAGTCAACAATTTCTTCCGTTCTCTCTTACCTTTTTTCCATTTATACCACTTTTTCTGTGTTCCGATCATCCAATATTCATGTTTTTTCCTTCTTTCCACTTTTCCTTGAATTTGTTCGCATCACTTTTTCCAAAGGTTGAATGTCCACAGCCCTTCAGACCAAGCAGTCCTACTCTTGAATACGTTGAATTGTTCCTGACTATAGTCCGCCGGGTACCCGTCAGGAAGCCCCATCACGCGGCAAAAGGGATAGAGGCGGAGGGGATTGTTGAGTTGATTGTTACATACCCTACCCTCCCTACTATCTGCACGGTCTTCTTCACTGCAGCCTATTCTGAATCGACGCATTAAAGTAGGCATGAAGCTCGCTTACTGATTTCTCTGGTCTCCAATCCCTAGCGGCGCTAGAGGCCTCCTGACGGGTACCCTAGTCCGCCTACACCTTTTCAGTCTTTTGGGAAAAGGTGCTGATTGGAGACTTGCCTGGGAGGATCAAAAAGGTTGCCCTGATCAACGGCTGGCGCTAAACTCTTGTTAGGCCGAATACACGCTAATGCATTGCAGTAAATTTATATTGAAGGAATATAGAACAGCAAGGTAGGATATTTGGGGGGGGGGGAGGGCAGAGAGGGAGCCGGGGAGGCTTTCTGAACAAAGCTGATTACAGGCAATTTCATTCTAAGGGCATCTTGTAGTCTTCTTCCGTGTAGTCGAACAACGTATGCGATAAGAAACACTCGTCACATGATTACGAATTTTATAGATTTAAATTTTTAGTTCTGGAAATTAATAGTTTAATTTTAACTGGCAGAGGTAGCAATAATGTTGGCTTACGGATATACATTGGTGTTAATGTTTTTTATAGTTGGTGAGGATTTAGGTTTTAAAGATTTTTTGTGTCATTTTACATCATTTTCATATGCATGTGACCCCGCAGGCAAAATTCGAGAAAATTGCAGAAAAATTGACTCTTTTTTGGACGCTCGAGGTCTCAGGGGGACATTTTAAACGGGGCATTTAAGAACCGCGAACTAGGACTAAGCCCAGGAGAGGGCAGGAACGGCATGGAGAAAAGAAGTTGCTTGGTCCTCTAAGATTCCCTTCCCTCCCTGTAGAGGTGGCTAACTCGCTTGAATGCCCCTAATAGTGACCCCTTTCTCTGGCATTTGTTTCGCTCATAACTCTCCTGGCTGGTTACAACTCTGCGTAATCGAAGAGCTTCATAATGTCTAGAATTTGCTTGAAGCTCTGCCGATCCTTGTTTATGAATTTCTTTGGTAAGCTTCGGCCACTCTGTTTGAACAGAGGCTGCGCTTGAGTGTTTATGGTGAGACTTGCCAGCTTTCTCGTTTTGGACAAGAGCAGATCCAGGCATCAGCTGAGCAGAAAAAACTTCTAGAATTTGATTGACCTGGACTAGAATTAATCGCTACTGACTGGTGACAACAATGAGCGAAATGGCCACGGTGCTATACCGTTCCTATTCCTACGTTTCTCCTTATAGTTGACCCTTTTGTATCGAGCGTATATCCTCATGGATCAATTTTGTTCCCAGCAGTGCGACCGAGACGGGTAAGGAGCTTGCAAGTCCGCGGTTTAAGAGCATAAAAATTGATATTTCAATAATGATGCGGGATTGAAAGCGGTGGCGGTGTCCGTTCTCCATGCCACTGAATGCCAAGTGGTGATCACGAAGGCCAATATCTAGTTCAAGACATTCGATTACTGCTGGTCTAACTGTTGTGCGTTAATTTACTATACGATAAACGAGTCCACTACAATCACTGTCAATTGGCTTTTTGATTCGCAGCGAAATGAAAAGTAGCGACTCGGTCGGAACTAGCGGATACTACTTGGACTGCTAACAGTCTCCAGTGGAACTTTTCTGCTACAGAACATTTTTTGAGGCACTTAGTCGTTGGGAGAAGGGGGACATCCAAGTGAGTGAGTCACGTCCAGTCGTCTCGCTGACGAGTGAAGCCTAAGGAAGCGAAGGGATTTTGAAGATAGATTGAGCAATTTTGCTCATCTCTTGGACGTGGCCGCTCTCATGGGTAACGCTGGGCCTACTGCACTAACCAGCGTTTCCAAAGTGCCTATTTCAATTTGCCTCCCCCTCCCCCTGTAGCCATTTGCCCCTTTTTTTTGCGTTTCTTGTTAACTGCGGAAATTTTGGAGCTTTGTTATGAGCTTAAAATGAATGAACAGGCGTGGAGTACCACGCTCAGTCCTTGTCCGAGAGTTCAAGCATGCCGTCGGTGAGATGTCGTTAGGTTGGTCCATTGTTCTAAGAGAGCCCGTACAGAGGGCACTGGCCTAGGAGTTTCAGTCGTGTGTTTCAAGTTTAGTACATGCATATTTTTTAAAGGATCGGAAATCAATTCAGGAGTTTCTTGGGATTCATTGTAACGTAGAAACCTATTTATTCCTTTGAGATACTGGCATTCATAAGGATGAGACGAGGATAAATGGGATAAGGGCGAGGTCCAACTATTTCTGTTCACAGGGGTTCTTGAGCTAAATCGTTCTGAACGAAATTGTTCCTACAAACGTTGGCTTTTGGAATCTGCTCCTTGCGACTATTGTGACGAAGTCCCATCTTCAGTGTAATTCATTGTAATTTATGTAATTCATTGTAATTTATTGTAATTTTTTGTAATTTGTAATTGTACTTCATCCTCAGTGTTTCATCCCCCTGTAGTGTGTAATGTGTCATCAGGTACCATTAATTAAAAGCATTGTGAATAGAAGCAATAAGTATCAATCTTTGGTTATCGCTAGGGCTTGGAGATGGGCCCTTAAATTATTTTGTCCTTTTTCAATATTTCATCACATATCATTAACACATTTTTTATATGTGTCAGTGAATTTCTATACAACCTTTTCCAACTTATTTTTTTCTTAACCTATTTTTATGATTTTATTTATTTTATTATTTCAATTATTTCATTTTTGTCGCGTATCAGTTACCAAAAAATGACAGTTTTTATCTCTAATCTGGCAGATAATGTCGCCGTTGTTGACAGTATCGCCAAGGTTTAATCTCGATGTAAAATTGAGTGAATGCTAATCGATATCTCATATTTTTCATTACAGTTCGGGAAGATGACTGTGTGAAACACTATCGAATTCGTCAGCTAGATCAAGGAGGCTATTTCATCGCTAGACGTCGGCCGTTCAGTACCTTAGAAGACCTCATCGCTCACTACTCAAACGATGCAGACGGTCTTTGTGTGCAGCTGACAAACCCATGTGTGAAGTGCGAAGTGCCACAGACATCTACTTTTACCTACGGTCAGTTGTCATGCTCCTTAACGCTTGGTCTCTCTCTTATCCTTTATTTTTGATTAGCATATGTTTTTTACAGACCTGAGCTTTCATTTTGTATATTCACAAGTTCGAAAACCTTACCGCTTAAAAAATAGTTATTTATCATACCGCAGACTAGAAGAAAAGCAGAAATGGTCACGGCAATAGGTATCGATCGGTATTCTCGAAAATTCGCCTCTTTCTTCTTTTAGAAAAAAGGTTTTTCCAGACCCGTTGAAATCGAATGAATCTTTCCCTCTCATAGCAATTTAAGCTGGGGCAACCTTCCAGTCACATTCGAGATCAAAAATTCGGGCGCTATCGCAATATACGGGGGCATTGAGGTGACATTGCTATTGAAACCGCGTAAAATATGTCTTTTTCGGTTAAAATTTGACTAGCCTTAGGCGGGGAGAGAAACTCAAGGTGCGTGAGGCATGTTCATTTTTTCCGAAGCTCGTGCCTCCTCCTATGGGATGCCCCCCTATATTGCGATAGCGCCAGGATCCGTTCTGCTTATTCCATCATTTGTCGTTTTTTCTTCTGCATTTCACTGGAAACAATTCCTAGATAAAGATATTCACTTCTGCTTCCCAGTAATTTTCAGCATTCACGACGTGATCAATCGGTGCGCTGAAATCAGGTCAAGGGTGAAGATGCCGAGGAATTCGCCATTTCTCTCCGTTATCATTTATCAAAAACGACCCTATCAATCCTTAGCAACGCCACTCCCAGTATCTGCTGAAGGTTGCCATCGAAAAGATCGTTTTGCACTATGCAATCGGTTTCTACGTTATCAATATCCCACCATGAATTCTGCCATAAAGAAGGGAACAGAGAAATGAAAAGTATCATGGGTCAGCTTATTAATCAGTGATCTTATCGCTCGCTACCTCTTCTTCTCGATATCAACTGAAGTGATCGATCACATATACCTTCTGCTTCCGAGAACCAGGTGCGCGTCGAGTGCAGACAACACACCACAAGTGACGACGGAATCTGAATCCAGTTACTAGTACATAGTGATAGTTGATAGTTGTGATAGTGACAACTGATAGAATACAACTGCAACCGGCTAATCATTTCATTGGCAGAAAACATTACATTTTGTGGAGGCCGTCGTCACTTGTGTTGTGTGGTCTGCACTCGACGAGCGCCTGGTTTTTGGAAACTTTGGGTAGCTGCCTTTCTGAGAAGTTTCTTCGCGATGTGCTCTGAGTTCAAAATTTTATCAATTCTAGGTGAAACAGTTAGGCCAAGTTCATACTTATCGTTAGTGAGGTTCGATCAGGAGGAAATGAAAAAGATATGTATTGATTGGTTCAAAACGAGTATGATAAATTAGGAGATTCATGGGAAAAGACTCGATACTTCTTGATTGACTTTAAAAAATAAATTTTATTTTTCTTCTGCCATTTTCCCAACCAGCACATCTCTTTTCAACTGATTCTCCTGATCTCCTATCAGCTGATCTCCTGATCTTCTGGTCTCCCAAAACGCTATGTAAGTGTGAATACGGCCTTAGCTGGATGCTGCTAGTTAGGAGATTCCTCTCCTATTCATTTCTTCCTCAGATAAATCCTTAGGAATGAGAAATCCCCTATCAGCTATTTTGAAGAGTTCCAAGTGAAAATTCATATATTATATATTGATTCATTGGCTACGGTATTTCATAGCTTTCATTTGCAGACGATCAATGGGAAATCGATCGACGCTCGGTTCTCTTCATCAAACAAATCGGGGCCGGTCAATTCGGAGAGGTCAGTTTTCCTCGTCACACATCAGTCGTCTGTCCCCAACGGCCCCGCCCAAGCCGTGCGAGTAGCTAATCGCCGTCGCTCGCGCACATGAAATGTGATCCCAGGGTTTTTTCGTCAACGAGACGGACAAGGGGATCAGCCCATTTGGACGCGACACCACACTTTCCCAGGGGCTGCGCGAATCAGGAATTGAGGTCGGTGCCTCCGCAGATGGCTGACGAAGGTCATGCTTCAGCGATGTTCATGGGAAATGCCTTCGTGATAAATCTTTCCCTCCCGCATCGCTGCCTCCCGAACCGGACACCAAGCTCACAGATCTTATCGAGTATTCGCCGATAAATCGGCGCTGATGCGATACCCTTGTA